TCTTTATATTGTTTGAATTTTCGTAATACTATCAAACGCATTCGAGTTCACCCTTGAGATGCTATTTCTAACAATAAATTAATCTTGTAAAGTTTTGACTTTTTTGCCAATACCTTCTTATGTCCAAATATATTGTGAAAAAGCTTATCAAAAAATTGGTAATTAGTGAGAAATACGGTTTTACGACTATTTAAAAATACATACAAAGGTCCAATCATTGGAATAATATGTAAAATTTGTTCTGGTATTTCCAATGAATCTTCAACACTGGCGCGATGAACTACGGCATGCTGTACATTAAGCTGTCCAGGATAGTCTATAGGTATCACCAATACTCGTGCTTCTATGTAAGTTCTTACTCTGATATTATCTATTAAATACTTAAGAGCATTTACATAATCCTTAGTCGAATGAAGGGATCCTTCTTTCAGATTAACAAGCTTCGTATTCTCTATGCTTCAATCGGTCTGACGTTATTCAATTCTGTCATCATAACTGTAAATTAAGAGACGTTCAACTCATTCATCGTAGGTCTCTAGTACAGATAACCTAATAAATGCCTGCTTTCGTCCTGTATAACTAAGCCATAAATAAGGAAAAAAATATGAATTAGCATTACGTATAATAATATTTGCATCAATACCACTTTTGTTATAGATACTCTTTTCCTGATTTAGATTATAAAATGGAATGGACACGATTTCTAGCAAGGCTTTTAGGAGTATTATAACAAAATGGATGATTTCATGTGTAGTAGTTGTATCACTGCGACAGTATTCATGAATATTATGAAAATAGTTTACATTGAGAATAACCAAGTGTTCGACCTATTAAAAAGTTATATATCAGTTGATTATTTACAAACCAAGGACTTGAAATACTCGTATGTCTAGTATACTTACATGTTTTAATAAAAACCTTTCCACTGTCATTGTATATACCCTGCGTGCTGAGCTTTATGTCTTACAATGGTCTCATATCTTACCGTTAAGCCTACATTAGGTAAAGTTTCTATTGCTGATGAAGACGTTCCAGACGAATCTAGTAAAAGCCCAACTTCTACTTTAACTCTATTAATAAATTTATTGTTAAGTCCCACTAGAAAATAACAAAATGAAATCAGTCTCATCCTATTTTTTGATTAGTCATATGACTCTTAGTTTGTGGGTTAGTTCTGGCTATTAATTGGTCAAAAAAACCTTTCAATAGTGGTTCGGCTTTCTCAAGTATCTTCTTAAATTCTTCTGGATCTAGAATAGGTCTTTCATAATATACACATTGTCTTGTATACAAAACTTCTGCCATTAGTTTAATCTTCTTACCAAGGGGAATCATCTCTAAAAAAAATATCAAAAATATTAACTATATAAAAAGCAATTTAAAATACAGCTACGAATAAAACTATTTATTTACCTAATTTTATTTCATCAAGCTCTGTACATACTTCGTGATATGCAGATTCTAATTTCTAAAATTCAGATTCAGAGTAAAAAACATCACTTTGTAATACATATAACTTACCTTGAAATTTTCTTATATCCTCTTTCGAAATTCTTTCAGGTGGTGGCATATAATCAGGTGAATTAACATGTTTTAAATTATCATCAGTTTTGTATAAACAATGATGACACATCATTACCCTTGCAATAGTTCAAAGAATCTGATTAATCATTTCAGAGCCTTCTTGAATTTCTTTTCTTTCACACCGTGTCGAACTGTAGATAGATAAAACTCATGCTTTGGATGTGAATATATATTAGCATTAGTTTTAGCTTTTTTTTACATTTACTATCAGTCTGTTGTAATGTTTTTGGCATAAGGCTTTGCCAACTAAATTCAAATGTTGGCTTAAACTTAGTATATTTATTTGCTCAGATACAATGAATGCATCATGCTGTTCATAATCACAAATAACATCATCCTGACCCTCTAAATTACAATACCGAGCCTTTCTTTTTTCTTTTCTTTCATTAGAAAGAGGTTTATCTTTATAGTGGCTAGACATTTGCTTGTATTCTTTTCTTTTTAATAATTAAATAGTTTTATAATAAAAATTGACATAAAACCCTTATTAGCTAAGTTCTGAATTACCTTTCCGTTTACCAAATTATTTTAACAGTGTATAGAATGAAAGGTATATTTTAGAAATTTTTTTATTGCAACTATTGCGAATTTATTCCTGTAGCTACGAATCTATTTAAGGTTAGATAATCATCTTTTCATATGAAAATTAATATGCAACGATCATTTTAAGATCAACTAATCAGATTTAAACCTGTTATGCTAGTCATATCCAAGCCACTTAAAAAAATTCTATATGAGGCCCTCAATCATCAATCACATGTGCTACGTGACCTCTATTAATCATCTGACGCAGTAGTCAGCAAATTAGTCATGATTTTTATTCGAAATCTTATTGGAAGTAAAAACTAATATAGCGATCAAATTTATATTACATGTTGATTAACGCTTAACATGAGCAGATATATAAAGAAAATGCGAGAAATACTATTTTTTCTGGTGGTAGAGTCTGACAAAATTGTGTAGAAGAAATCGTATAACATAGTAAAGTTTGTCAAGTAATAATTTATAACGCAGACTTCATCTAACATATTTTATGATAAAATCAATACATTCATGCGTAAAAATGCTGATTACTTAGTACTTTTTAATTCTGATAGCTCATATGAAGATATCTCCAAAATTATTAGATGCTATATTAATAATGTAAAAATGCATCAATGGTCATTAATAGCTATTTCTGCAAAAAGAGTGAGTTTGTTGTATTTGATCTCATTAGGCCTGAGGATGATCCTCTTGCAATTCAGCTAAGGTTTGACACACCATTAAATCTGCAGAAAGAGATAGAGATGAGACAGAAGTGCAAGGAAAAAAGTACTTAAGCTAATTCATGCAAAGCATCTTTCAGTTAATTTTCTTCCAAAAATGATGATATTATTTTTATTATAATTGGTATTCACATTATACAAGTATTGGATGATTTCTAACAATATAAAAATAACTACAGCGAAAAATACTAATAGCTAGATATAATTATTCCTATTATTACGAATGTAGTAGTGGTACTTATGAGGTAAAACCTCCATTTTTTTCATATGGCGGTAGTGGAGTTTGATGTCTTCTTACGATATTTTGTTCACAAAGCTGATCATATTCAATCACTATAGTGAAATAAAGTATTAGGAATTAGTATATCTTTTCATAAATATTCCTTCTTCTGATTAACTAATCTTTACCTAGTATTTTCCAGAACTGTTCTTTAAATTCCTTATAATACTTGAGGCTGTTCTTAGTCCTTTTTCCATTGGCTTTACCATCAATGTATACTTCTATATGTTAAATAGAAAAGATAAATTAATCTGGCATCAGACGTTATGTATGGCTGAGGCTTCAGAAATTTCAGAAGGATTTCTACATATTTTACAATCCCGTTTAAGACTCTCGAACTTTTCCTTACAATGCGCACTAGTATAAGACATTCCAAACTGAAGGTTGATCTTTGTGGAAACTTTCTTCCAGAAAATTCTCTTTCCATTCTCAGCTAGTTCATGAAACATTTTGTTATTTTCTTTACAGTTATCAATCAAGACTTAAAGTTATTCGTCAGTTCACATTGTAAAAAGCTTTTTATTTTTTTGGGATTCAGGTCTCTAGAGACCATGGTATTATATACCTTTTTTAACTATATTATTGCAATTACGTGAAGAGGGAAGTGGTAGAAGCGCAAAAGACAAGTCATTATATATTGAATGACTATATATATTAGATATGGCTTAGAATCATGCAGATAACTACTGTAAAATGATTTTAACCAAAGTCACGTGAAAGCGATTATGTTAAGATAGTCTAAAAATTGCATCATAAGTATTTTTAAGAAATACCGTGCTAATACCGTATCAAATAATATATTGTACTATTAGATCTGAAAAAAATACTATATCATTACCGTGCCATTACCGTGAAATTGTATAATACTATTCCTAGTAATATTTATGATTTATATTCAAAAGAAACAAATCACATATTTTCTGAAATCACGCAGTTCTGCAAATTTGCTAAGAAAATTTTATTATCCAACACATACTAACCCACATGAAAAAACATGAATGTATATTTATAAAATTGATTGCCAAGGTAACTTTATTAATATAAAATAAATTATATGATACTTGGGATACATTCTAAAATTAAATCTAATTATTCATGATTAGAAGATATTGTGAAGTTTTTTCGCTTAAATTGTTCTGATTTAGCTTCTGACGCATTTAATAACAAAGAAATGTTAATAATTGTAATATTTCGCAAAAGTAATAATATCTCCACAAGTTGTAACACATCACTCTCACCGGCTGGTTGTATTGAAATTTTAACTGAACGCAAATAGAAAAGGCAGTGAATATCATCAGTATCCTTAATTAAAATGTTCAGATGCATTATTTTTTCAGCGATTTGAAGTCCTATAACCCAAACTCATTTTTATCTAGTTTGCAACCTTTATGGATCCAAGCCATTCCATCATTCATTTCCCTCTACAGCTTTACATTGTCATTCTCTTCTTTGATTCTGGTATAGGCTATACGCGAGAATTCTACGAATATAAGTTCGTATAATTTTTTTCACTCCCTTTTATGAATATAACATCGGGTCTTTTACCCTATTTTCTGTCTTCCTTTCTATCAGCACTAGTTACACTTTGTCGCTTCGCATTGAACAGAAATAAATTTATAAATTAGTTGCTAACATATAATATATGTATATAAAATGAAGACTAACGTGCTGAGCAAAGCAATTTTTCTAACTGGAAGTTTTTTCAATGTAGTTCAAAGTAGAGGAACTATAACATCTGTCACGTAAGTTCCTTCACTCTGTGTATTTTCAAATTTTAGACTAAAAGCTGGATTCCTCTACACATTGTCACTTTGTGATAAAGATTTTTCTTAGCAATTAGTAACCATAATAAATTTACGATAATAATTTACTTATAGGGTATTAAGGATTTCTCCACTTATCTCTACTAGATCTTCTACTGACTCCTTCCAAGTTTTGTTATACAAGAGCTTCGGCGGTAATTCATTCAAGTTATCAATGTTAAAATTTTTCACAAAGGAATCGCACTTTTCTTGAATTATTTCTAATACAACTGGTTGCATATTCAGTAATGGCTTCATAAAAGACTGATGTGCAGATTTTCCCAAATTTTTTACCAGGTCAGAATCATCACTTATTACCTGGTTAGCAATTGCATCTCTTCATGATAAATCAGAAACAGATATATTTTTTAACTTTTTACGTATTTCTTCAGCATGTGAAGTCGTGCTTCTCTATAAATTAAGAGGAAATATATTATGTAAGTTTTCGCACTGTAGCCAAGAGATTTGACAGAAATTTATCACAAGCTTCTTCTTCAAGTCCCTCATATTATCCTTAATTTCTTTATTACTAAGAGGTTTAATTGCCATTTTTATATCACGAAGATTACAAACACCCTTGAAAGTAATATCAAACTGGTGCATTAAAAATACATGTTAATCTTCGCTCTTATAATGAATATTTTCTATATCACTCGCGAGTGTCATCAGAAATAATATAGCAAAGTTGCTATCTTTGCGTGGCTTACATATTGTAAGCAACTTCGTTTTTACATATAGACTCTCAAAACTTAAAAAATTAAAGTCAGAGTACTCCCATATGTCCTTGAAGTTGAATCCGGTATCGGATACTCGGAGTAATCTCCATGTTTTATTCATAAAGTTAAATTTATTACTAATAAATTATTAGATACTTCCATCGACTAAAGCCTTTACGAGTTTGAAAATCTTGTGATAAAGAATTACACCAATCATCATTTGTTAATAAAGAGATATTATAAAGCTTATTAACTGACCTGTAATAAAACTGTAAGAAGTTTGTTTTGTACTAATAAATCTCGAGAATAATCATTTTTTGCTAAAGAAATGGCACTGTTTACTATACTTCTTAAATTATTTTATTCGATCTATGGATTATCTTCTATAGCTTGATAGACTACAGAAAAAGCGGTAATATATTCCAGTGGGAAGGTAGTAAGAAAATTATAGATCTTACTAGCCAAGTTGTTAGACATGTTTGCATAAAAAAATATTATTAGTTTTTGTTAATGCTATAAATTATGAAGCGACGAATAACTTGAATTCATATACTGTCCTTTTAAATCTCCATTCACGACTTCTCTGAGTCTGAGTTCATATTGGGTCGAAGTAGAAGAATATGAAATAGACTCTTATGCTGAAAGTTTGTGTTTGAGAATAAGAACATGCGGAATGTGCATTGAAGATCTCAACGGTATATATTTTAATGAAGATCAAAAATATGTTAATTTATATTATACACGCTTATATGCATTGGCCTTAAGGCACTGGGAGTATGTATATATATACTTTTTTTTTCTTTATTTCACTTGCCCGACCGCTCAGTAATAAAGGCCTACTAACATTATATAAATATACTCCAGTTGAAATCTAGTAAAAATAGCCTCTAGCATCAGAGGAAATAAACTCATAAATAAATGCTATTCAGATAGATAGGAAAAAATTTGAAATATTTTGAAAGCGGTTTGTGTGAAATTATTTTGTCGCACAAGTATAGTTTCACAGATGATTTGCAGAATATTACATATTACATTATATATACTTTAACAAGGATCAGAAACACGTTTTATTTATATTGCACATGCTGAAATATTAGTCATAAGACGCTTAGCATGATGATGCATACATATTTTTTATTAAGATAATATTCGAAACCTTGATTAAAAAATAGGCAGATCATGCGAGAAAAAAAAATATGTGTAAATAATTATATATTAATAAAGTAATAGTCTATATTTAAAATATTTTTCGGAATCAGTCAGTCATCCAGTTAAACAATCGTGATTTCTGTCCCATCTTTTAATCTTAATGTTGTACTTTTTTGCTGATTAAGATGGTTTAAGTTATTTTTTTTGCATATAGAGATGAGATAAATATTTCACCTGTATTATTTTTACAATTCAATGACTAATAAGTAGTTAGTGAAATATTTTCTTGCCTAACAGATGAAATACAAGCTGGCTCGGGAGCACTTGGCATAGTATTTTTGTCATAGTTACCTTAGCTGAAAGATAAGCTTTATAGCCGATTGAACGAGTATTATAATCATATGATACCAATGCTAATTTATCCTTTTCTGAGTGTGAGGTAAATTGAGAAAAAAGTTCTAGTTAGAGACGCTTTATTTTCGCCTCTTCTTTTAATATAGTTTGTTTGTATTGCCAAATCTTAAATTCTCTTTTATCAATAGATTAGAGAATATCTTTTCTTCTTGCATGTTCCTTTGAAATAATATCTTTATTAATATAACTCTTTAAGTAGTTATCTCGATAGAAATCATCTATACGACCATTTTCAGATATAAAAACTAAGGAGTCGCATATATTACAATATATATAATTTGTTGGAAGACCATGATACCTATCACTTTCATATAATGTTCTATATATTGTAATATATCCATTCTTAGAAAGAATTCCTCTAGAATAGTTCTCTTCTAGTATTTCCTTAAATAGATCACAGATACGGAAGTATCACATTTTTGGTATTTCGTGATTACGTCTTACTATTAAAGGGCCTATACATCAACTATTCTTATATATTCTTTAGAGCCTCTATGAGTATTGTATGCACTAATTAGCTTAGAGTAGGCTTTACTATCTAAATCTATAATTTAGAATTATATATTAAATAATCAGTTTGTAATAATTTTAACAATTAAGAGATTTATAGTAATTTTAGTAAAATATAGCGTTTTTAGCGAATATTTCTTGTTATAGCAATTTGTAGCAAGTACATTATAATAAAATATCAGATTTATTTTTTTATTTGATTACAAGCATATTATTAGAGGTTTATATAAGGTTTACATCTGGCTATGTGCATATTCACGTGCATGTAAGGGATTTTCCAATGACATAATTTGGTTAAATTAGTTTGAGATAATAGCTAATCAGAGGTGTATGATATATATCATATCACAGGAATCATTCTAGCTCCCTGCCAGTTCTACGACAGTTTTCTGATGCTATCATATTACTGAGATATTTCTCAAATCATGAGATGACTGCCAAAAATTTGGAGTATAAGATAATCTGATACAGACTGTGTAGATCTCTCATAATTAACAGGGATTAGTCAGACGCTTCTCATGATGTATATTATATCAGGAGTGATTAGCATATTTTTTGTGTACATTTCCCATATTTATTCGAAAAAGATAACCTATTCTGGGCAGATATGTTATCTAGATATACTATACTTATGAAAAAAGTTTGGAATAACCTGCCAATACATGCTGTATCATATAATAATCGTGAAGATTCTTCTCACTTCCAACCAATAGAAGTAGGATCTACCAGCTAATTATTTGATAAAATCTTTCTGACAAGTCTTATAATAAAGTAATATTACACCACCCATATATAGCATACATTTGTTAAAAATAACTCGCCCATAAACTTTATTATTTTTTCATTATTTTACTGTAAAATGATAACCACATATGTCTAGAAAATATTAAAATAGAAAAACTTTGGCAAATGTGAATAGATGATTACACATGAGTAAATTTGACTTATTTGAAATCTGAAAAAACTTCGGTAGCTGTGAACATATATTCACACTTGAGTAAAAAATACGCAGTAAATTTCACTGACCCGCTTTTAAAACTTTAGCTAATACATAGTCAATATCCTTCATGCCTAACCTCGAAATAGTTGACGCTGAAAAGACTTAATACAATTTATCTTATCTACCCCTTCAACTCTATCAAAAAGTTTAAAGATCTTTATTGCCTTTTTCTTCCTTTTTTTAAGATTAGCTTCTGAAGTTTTATCCTGGTCTGAAAAGTACTCACGAATTTTATCATTAACTAGAGAATTGGATATATCATCACTATACGTTTTTTTATAATGATCAAACTATAACCTATACCCTTTCTTAAAATAGTAATAGCTATAGATCAGTTGTAAAACAGTTTTTTGATTATCGCCTTCAGCTTTGATGATCCTGTCATTTAATTCACGAAAATTAACTAAGTTAATATCTATTTCAGAGAACGTCTGCAAAGAAATAATACTATCAGAAGAAATTTGCTATAGAATAGGAGCAGATAATTCCTTGATTAACTTTTTTAAGATGGGTGAATCTTCTCTTCTAATCAATTTCTTAGCCTTCTTTTTAGGCAGTTTTTTGATGAATGAATGCGAAGCAGAAGCTTGTGGCTCAGCATCTTCGCTAGTTCATTTTTTACTGCTAGTGAGTGTAAAGTTTTGATTATCAGGTTGGATTTCTAATTCTTCTTCATTGACCTCTTCATCCACTTCTATTTCTTGAACTGGCCTCTCCTCTTCTTGGATTACTGATGATTCCATCTGAAGTTGATTGTTCATTTTCCTAACTATCGATGAAGTACTTAATTAAGACGATACAGAAAATCTCTATTCAGTGACTATAGGATTAATGATCATGATACAATTATCAATGAGGCAGTTGTTTTGTTAAGTAAGTAAAAAAATTTTCTCAATACATTCTCTATGAAAAACATGATCATAGCTAAATACCGTAAACGCCTTAATAGAAAGAATTAGGATCTCATTATTACACTCTGAACATGGTTCTAGCTCCAGAACTTTCATGTCTCTAACTGATTCATCCTCGAGATTTTTTAAGATATTATAAGCAAGATTCTTAAGACTGTTTAAAGACATAATCTAATACAAAATATATGCGAGACACTACTGTCATATTCAGTATTTTTATAAAAAACAATTCTCCGCAGTTAATGCTACGATCGTCACAAAACATAAAAGTCTTAATATCTAATAATTTGTCGATCCTAATTTTTAAAAAATAACCTGCATTAGTGCATTGCTCTCGAACGATCAGTAAAATATAGCATATAGGGATAAGTCATTACTGGTTAAGAGATTATATGCAGTGTTAAAATTCTTTTATTTGCAAAACATTAAAATAAAAAATTTTGGGAAAAAAAACAGGTATATGATAACATTTCTATGCTAGTGGCTTAAAACTAAATACATTTTTTTATTTTCATGCGACATGGCTATACCTTAAGGATAGAAAACAATGCAAGGGCTGGAATTCAGAAATAATTTTACTTCGCTTGAATGATACCCCTGTCCTTTATTGACCCACCACTACACCTAAGTTTCACTGCAAATATTCGAATCACGATCTGAATGATCCTATTAAAATGAAGATTATTTAAGCCTTTCTCGCAACTCGAATCTGGGAGTGGAATGCTTCTAGTTGAATCAGATTTAGAATCATATTTCTCGGTAAATATCAAGGATCAAGATTAGTACATATAAAATACCAGAAAAATGATAAGTATCATGTGTGAAGCATCGATGTCATTTTTCGAAATT